GGGGGGGACATTAAGCTTAAAAGAGAAAAGCACCAATTGTATAGTGTAAAATCAACAGTGGCATTTCCTTCCGACAGGTTTCATAGTTTGAATGAGGAACCGGTGTTGACAACAATCCAGGGTCCTTTTTTGTCGGGATAGTCTATTTTTTCCTTTTTACGAAATCAAGTCCTATTTACATACCTGAGACCGTTGATAGTAAACTTATGTCCGAAGGGTTTTTTAATGGTAAATTCAATAAAAATTGCCCTTTTGAATTTTGTGATTTCCTACCAGGATTTCGTAGAGAAGGATGAACATGTTCTTCAGTCCTCAGGTGAATTTTTTCTTTTCCATTAATAGTTTGGAAGAGCTACAGTATCTTCTAGCTCAACCGGTTATTTTGAAATATCGCGGTTTCTGGACCGTCTACGGAAAACATTCACCTTGCGTACTTTTTGGTCAATTCTTGTCTTCATTACAATATTGTGCCGTATAAACCAGCAATGACGGTTTTAGGAGGAAGAAGATCGAAATAATCCTCCCGATCCGACGGAATCCCATGGCTTTTTATTTTGTAAACAGTGTGGCGCTGCGTTTTCCCCGTTTTTTCAGGAAGTTATGCCGGCTTCATTAACATTTTAAATTAGCGACGGCTTAAATTAAACTCTTTACGCGTTTACAAAATATTCCTGTTTTTTTAATCTTTATATTATAAGTAGATTTATTCGATTCGACGCCGTAGATTTTTCTTTTTTCTTAACCTCTGGCCTCTATAGAGGCCAGTTAAAGATCAACAAATTACAAGAGTTGTCTACGTTTCTTATCTTCTGGAGAGAGAGAGAAAAAAAGGCCTGTTACATATCGTGGAAGTGAAACATGGCGATATTTCAAAATAAAGTTGAATTCTGTCAAGATGCAATACAACAAACCAAATTTTCGTTTTACTTTTGACTTTAGAAGGTGAAGATCAAGGATGATTTCGTTTTGTTCCAACTATTTTTATCGATTTTGCGTTATAAGGGAGTTATGAATGGGGTTTAGGGCAGGTTAGAAATAGTTAGGTTAGGTAGGGTTAAAATTAGATTAGAATAAGTAGAGTTAAGGTTGGGTTAGGTTAGGGGTTATAATTAAAGAACGGGTGAGGTTATTCAATTTTTTTTTTAAATTTTGTTTTTGATATTTTAAAGAAACGATTGAACTCAGTCAAAATACAAGAAAGTACAGTAGTGGCTCTCTAAGTTCCAATTCCTAAAATTCGGCTTTGACGAATAACTGCAAAAATGCAGAAGCAAGGTCTTGCAGAACACAACAGAGTAAGTGATACACATGTGTACGCTGAAAAATAAGTTGGAAGTTCTGTTTGGAAGTTCAAGAGTGATAGTGTGATTAAGTCGTTTCGGATTGTTTTATTTTGCCTCCTGGGTAGGCTAGAAACGGTTAAGTTAAGTAGGGTTAGGATTAGAATTAAGTTAAGATATTTAGGTTTGGAGGCTGGTTAGATTATGTTAGGAGTTATGTTATTAGGTTACCAAAGATTAGGGTTTTGGGACGGGCTATGTTATTCAAAGTTTTTTAGTTTTGCTATGGGATAATGTAAAGAGAACTTTTGAACTCAATGAAAAACACCAGCACTCTTAGTATTCATATAACTTAGTAGTTGAAATACCCTCATTTAAAATTAAAAGAAAGAAATTTTAAAGTAAAAAAAAAATTAAAAAATTTGAAAAAAAATCAGCCAAACAAATAAATACAGTAAAGGCCTACTAGTATGAATTTATTGGGAAAAATTCAAATACAATATACAAAAATGCCGAAGTAAAGAGTAAAATAGGTACGGTAGAGACAACTGAACAGGAAATACGTCAGGTACGTAAAAAATAAACTGGAAGTATTGATCAAGAGGGGCAAGGGTGATCCGTCTTCAGAACTAATGGAATTTTTAATAGGAAATCTTGTAAAAATGAAATTTGAAAAGAATAACGTATAAATCGGATTTGATACCGTTTTTTGTTATCATTTGAGTAGGCCTCGATTAAAAGACATTGGTGGCTCGGTAAACACTCGAGACAAACGCTACTCACGCAAATTTAAAAGAGTTTCATCACGGATCAATTAAAAATAGACGATAAGGCTTAATAAACAAACCTATCAATGTGCGTTGAAATAATTACAATGCATCAGCGAGCCCGTACGGACACCAGACACCTCAGGACTATTTCAAAAGGTCTTGAATTTGTTTTATGATTGGTTTAAAAATAGCCCGAACTAATTTACCCTACAGGATCAGATGGTAGAAAAAGACAAAAAACAAAACATTATAACCATGCCAAACTTAAATTGGCGAGCGTATGTATTTACTCTTTAACCGTGTAATTTTGAATTTTTCTATTTATACGAAATTGTACTGCGCTAGAAAGATTTTTTTTGAGGTTTTGCATTTCTTTTAGTATCGTTAGTTGGATGGATGTTTTAAAATATTGACCAGATCCTGCTGGATTGCAAGCCTGTTGCTCGGTCATTTACGATCATTTTAGCCCGCCAACCTTGCTGTTTTGATCCGTCTGGCTACTCGCCATCTGATTCAGTGTTGGGTCTGATGACTGATAACATAGGCCTGACAGAAAGAACCAGCGAAGGCCCAAATAGAGCCATGTCTATAAAAAGTAAACGGCCAAATTTATGTAAACATTCCTTGGACTTACAATTAGTATTTTCAAATAAACCAACAGGTTTTACGATGTTTAGTATGCTTTTATGGTATCGGATTGGAGGTAATTTGGGAATTTAAAGGCCCCATTTTTAAACCTCTTCTACCGGATAAAGGATAAAAAGAGTCGGTCACTTTTTGACTTTAGGCACCACGACCCATATTGGCCTATTGTACAACTCCATCATTTTAAGCTCAAAACCTTTTACATCCAAAAGCTTCCGTGTTCTTCAGTCCTAGGCTTCTCATCTAGTAGGAAGCTTGCAGAAGTCTTCAGAACAGAGGAAATGTTCTGGCAATATCTGCACTGTCTAAGTCATATGTCTTTTAAGTCGAAGTCATTCCACACCTAACACTTCTAGTCCTAGTTTAGTAGTCCTGTTATTTCCTACGATGGTTGTTTTTATATGGAAAACATTCCCATTGAACCAAGATTTTTAACCAATTGTCTGATGGATCTGCGTTTTTTGGGAGTCGGTATGGTACAAAATGGTTCAGAGTAGATAGGTGCTCTGATTGAACTTTCCGTGGTCCAAACAAGGGTTATTTTGTTTGATAGTTACCTAACTTCCTAATTTGTCTCACTGATTTTTGTTATTTCAGAAGCGTTTCGGCGAAAGAATATGGCGATGTAATAAAGAAATAACTATCAGCGAGGATAGGCAGACCAGGATGAAGTTAACTATCAAACAATTTATCACCCTACAAAGCACAGGAGGAAATTTCATAATTTATGGGTGATTTTATTATTTTACCCAATGCCTGACAGGGCCATAATGCTACCCCAAACTCTGTACTACTACCGATGAGTGTATGTCTTCCTTTAGTGCACCTGTCTGTCCAACAGCACGATTATTGTTTTGTTGCTAGCCCAAAGTATATACGAAGTCTAGTCCTTGGATTATTCCCACAGTTACAAGTTCCTGACTCACACTCTCAGAGCCTACAAACCAGATACAGACGACAGCAACTTAAATCCCCTTTCTACTAGTCTCCTCTGACACGTTACTAATCCTCGTCGCTAATTTGGGCTGAACTTACGACTGACTTGGTATCTCCATGTACAAATCAAAGAGGCAGAACTGAACCGACGATGCCGATTACTTAAAAAACCAACTAGACAACTAAACCTGGATAATACAATACTGAAATGAGATGTTTCTTTTTCCTGACAAACACAGGCTCGCTTCTACATGCCTCAGAAGTCTGCAGGGTCCAGTGATTCCTACTATCATCCTAGTCCTGTAAGTCTTTCTTATTGAACTTTCCCCAATGCCTGATGGATCTAAGATTTTGTCAATTGCCGCAAAAGGTTTTGCACCTCTGCCTAAATTTATCCTGATACTAAAACAATTGTGGACGGGACTTTTCACCGATTAAATTAATTTTCAACGGGATGGAACTACTCACTCAAGAAAGATGGATCTACGGGATGGAACTACTCACTCAAGAAAGATGGATCTACGGGATGGAACTACTCACTCAAGAAAGATGGATCTAACATACAGATTACAATTTATCAGGTAATTTATTGGCCGTTAGACTCCGCATATACACTAGTTTTTTAGTATAACGAAAGGGAAAGGTTTACTGCACACGCACCTTTTTATATAACTGAACTTTTAACGACACTACTTTGGGCCTTTCGAATCGAAACGGATTCCATTCACAGGCCGGAGTTCGCATGATAAAAAAAAACGAAATGAACCGTCTGATAAAACGAAAGTCGGAGTGCAACAGGCGTAACCTGTGGCAACCACCATCGTTCTGTTATTATTTAAAAATCTCTAGGTCTTGCCTAGAAATGCCAACGAGGTTCAACTTTTAAAATCATGCTCATCATTGTAAAACGTTGAAAATGGGAAAACTGTCTCTAAATTTTTAGACATGCTTAACAAAAATCGAAGCTAAAAATAAAATAATGTTGTTTTTTTCAAAGCCAGTTTTCTAATTAATTGTGGCTGAGAATACAATTTTTTGAGGGTCTTCGGTTGACGGAAATGTTAAAAAAAGCATCGTAAATTCTATCCTACCAATTAAGAAAGCTTTTAATAATTAATTCAACGCTGTGATTGTAAAATATTTAATTAAGAGAAAAATTTTTTGAAGACGAGATGTTATGGTGTTGCTGGCGACATTGTTTATTTCTTAAGACGCCAAAGGCTTGGTTAAGACAAAAAGTCTTCGTTTTTTAATGAGGCGAAAGTTTTCATCGCGAATTATTAAAAAAATTAATTAATTTAATTAAATACAAAGGGAGAAAAGTGAAAAATTTTCGTAATATTTAATATAAAATTTTTAATCCTCTTACCTTTTTCTCTTGGGGGAAACTGATACTGCTCCTCCTTCTCTCCTCCAAAGATCTTGGTGTTGGTTTCGACATGTCGAAGTTAAAAGAAAAAAAAAACTTGGCGTGATTAAAAAAAAAAAGAAAAGAAAAAGTTTTGTGTTCAAGAGTGGCGATGGTATGCCCTGGGCTGTGAGCGAGAGTAGACTGTCGGGCACGGACTGAGCAACATCCAACAGGCAAATATAAATCACTCCGCCTCCTCCTACTTTCCCTCCAAGCTCTCCTCTCATCAACAACCATCAAATGAATAGACAATCCAGGCTCTCGGCTCCCTACCGCGTTTTTGATTCAAAAAACCATCAAAATTAATTATCTATATAATCTATTCTAATCCTTAGATCGATTCCAATATAAAATTAACAATAATAAACAACAAAACTACTTTTCTATTAAGAAATTTGATGTAAAACTTTAAAACAAAGTCATATAGTCAATTATACATCCTTTTGAGACATTTACCGTCGCCTTTGTTAATTAATTATTTTTAAGAAAATTTATTTTTTTAAATCCTACAAGCTGCAGAAGACATTGCAAACTGTTACAATGAGAATGGCGTTTCTTTAGTGTTAGTTTCCTTTTCTTTAAGAGAAACCGTGGCGGGAAATTAATATTTCCTTATTTGACGTTTCGTTCACGTCTTTTTCCTCTCTTGATTTTTTTTCTTCAAAACAATTTAAAAAGAATAACCACCTTTACAGAGTTTCATGTTGGTTTTTAATGATTACGACACATTTTTTATTTTATCCTTCATATAATATATTATATTTGTCTTGAAATAAATTTATTTATGTGTCTGTCAGACATTGGGGATAACAATAAAATTATTCTTGTCTGGGTACAATAAGACAAGTACTCAAGTACGGATTTTTTTTGCATTGACAAGTACCGTTGTTTTGGTACCAGCACAAATTAGGCAGAGGTGAAAACCTTTTGCGACACCACATTGCCCAAAAATGTAGATAAGTGGGTTAAGAATAAGCCCCAATTTAATGACATGTCATATAGAGACTAAAGGGTCTAGAATGATAGTAGGACTACTGGCCGGACACTGCAGACTCCTGAGGTATAAAGACTCGAATAACAGATACGAACTTGTTCTTGCCAGGAAGTACAAACATCTTGTCATCTCATATAAGTATTATATTGTCCAGGTTCAGTTGTCTAGTTGGTTTTTTAAGTAATTGGTCTCATTGGTTCAGTTCAGTCTTTTTGGCTCATACTGGGGATTCCAAGTCAGTCATAGGATCAGCCCAAATTAGCGGCGAGGATTGATAACTTGTCAGAGAAGACTGGTAGAAAGGGAAACTAAGTTCTTGTCAATAGTATCTGGTATACAGTCTTTAAGAGTGTGGGTTAGGAGCTTGTATCTATGGAACTAAAGGACTAGAATTCATATAAACCTTGGATAGTACCAACAAAAGGGTACCGTCTAGTCGATCTCCAGGTTGCACTAAAGGCTGACCTGATTGGCAGTAATTCAGAGTTTTGTATTGCATATATTGAGTAAAACGACAAAATAACCCTTGTGGGTACCAGGGATACAGGGCAGAGGAAGCCGATAATCTGGCCAAAGTTCAATCATGACACCTATCGGCCCTGAACCATTTTGTGCCACATCTACTTGCCCAATAACTCGAATCCATCAGACAATGTGTTAAAAATAAGCCCTCGGTTTAATGGGACTGTTTCCCAGAATATACAGAACTACTAAACTTAGGACATGTTAGGACTAAAAGGATAGCAAGGCTGCTGATGATTGGATACTGAAAAACCATTAATCAATAGATCAAGAATAAGTTCTCAGTTTAATTGGTAACTAAGACTGCTGACAGGATATTGAAAGACATTGGGTAAAACAACAAAATCACCCTTGGAGGCCCATAGCCTGAGATTTCTACTGGGAGGGGAAAAGCCCAGCTGAAGGATACAGGAGTTTTTGAAAGAAAGCTTTTGGTAAAATGGTTTAAGCTTAATAAGGAGACAACTATGGAGATGCACAATAGACCAATACTGGTAGGTCATAAAGAGGCCAAATCCTTTTGATTTGATCTAAAGGATTGAAGAATCTAATCTAATGCTACATGGATTATTTATCTTTTGGACTAAACATCAACAAACACAAGCTATAAAAAATTAGCCCAAGGGCAAAGAATAGCAGCAGAAATAAGCTATGCAGTGTTTGAACAAGTTCCTATGACTCCTAACAAACGCTGTGATTTATGTAACTATATAAAAATCGGCTAGTTTGATAGTGATTTATTTAACAAATGGTGGGCTTTTGTTGATCCTTAATAAAATGATTTGATTCTGTTAGGACATCCTTTGTTCACTGCACAACACAAGCACCCAAAAAATTATGTTTAGCAAATTTATGAATCTCATGAAGAATGACAACCCCATCTTAGAAACTTTATTAAGCCTACCTCCACTGGAAATATTCAAAAAGCTAGGAAAAGCTCATACAGAAGAATCCAGAAGAAAATAAATCAGATAAGGTCTAAACAACATTAACTAATAAAATCAGACATTCCTGTACGTGCTAACTGACTATATGACCCAGGATCGTTTGCAACAGCTTACAAAATTTTAACAGACTACAAATAGGAAGAAGAAATCAGAAAAAAATCAAATATAAATTGTATGGTATGTATATCCAAAACCAGCGAAGGTACTGGGATTATGTCCAAGCCCAAAATACGACCAATCAACCTCATTATATAAGTCCGCCTCATTATTCAAACTGAATTCTATTAATGCTTGTGCCATAAGATCAGACAGTCAAGCATCATTAAAAGCATTACCATATAAAAATGTCATATCCAAAATAATCAGTGAATACATCACATTTGACAATAACTTGGGTCCCAGAGGAATAGCTGCAAGACCATCACGCCTTGAGACTATAATTGGGATGAGATCAAACATAGACTCCTCCAGCTCAGAAGGGGCCCAACAAAAAAGGAAATGTTGACAAACTCCAGAGGGGCCATAGTACGATAGGGTTATATTGCGGTCACTGGCATCTGAGAAAACATCTACGATGGGAATATTCAACATTGACATCATAGGTTATGCAACGAGAAAGAAACTGCCATATTATCTCCGAATGCGAAGCAACTGACCCATGAAGACCCTTGGATGCTAAGACCTGGAAAAGAGAATAACAATGACTTTATCTTAAAAGAAGGATCAATTCAATTGATTCAAGGATTGGTAATCTATTTAAAATGTTAGATGTATCGACCACTTTCTTACTCACAAATAATCTGGATCTCAGTATCGTCTTGATGAAAAAAACAAAGTCAATTGGTACTGCCATGCTTTTGACCTATTTTAAGGTCATCATCAGAGCAACGGAATCAGTGTTACAGTCCTTGGCAATGTTGGGATTGAGTCTTCAAAGCGATTGGAAAACTATCTATTAAAACTTTAAACTCCTGTCAATTTGTAGACATATTTAAGATATTTTTGCCCTGATCATGACCTTAAGATAGGCTGAAAGCTTGGCAGTAACAATTGGCTTTTTTTCAACAAGATCATACATCAATCCTATATTCCTAGATTATTCATGAAATAAACTAGTTTTATGGTTAGGCTAGATTAGGCTAGGTACTGCTAAGGTTAGGAACAGTTAAGACTAGGTAAGGTTATGGTTAGGAACAGGCTAGGTTAGATCGGGTTAGATTGATAAAATAGCGTATCCATGATTCGGTGTTTTTGTGAAGAAAATATGCATGTGCTAATTATTTAATTTTATCAATTATAAGTAACATTTGGTTTAGAAAAGAATTTAGTTTAAATGTTTGTGTTAGCGTATTTTTTTAAATTAGACTGAATATGTTGAATTTGAAATAGAAAAAAAGTTGAAAAAGAGGAAGCGTAAAATGATTTAGAAAAGGTTAACAAGGTTCTGCCTGGGAAAAGTTCAATTTGATCTGAAAAAAGTTTAAATTAGACTTGAAAAGAAAAAAAAAAGTAGGAATGTGTATGAGTATATTATCTGTTTAAAAATAAAATTAAAAAAAAAGGAGTAAGGAACATTGTGAGATGAAATTTGATGAACTCACGCTTGAAATTTAATGAAAAACTGTCAAAATATATCATTAAATTTGTCAATTTTATTTACTGACTATACATCTGATTGACGGAAACTGTGCAACACTCAGTTTTGCAGAAATTTGCATTGTGCCGCTGGTGAAAATTATTCATTAGCTATTCTCATGTGATTCGAAAGTCCAGACAAAAATATCCCCATTTATTAACTCTCTCAGAAAAACCGGTTAGCAAATATTTTGTTCAATCAATTCATCAAATCAATAATTGTAAAACACAGGACAAAGTCAAAACATGTTCTTTTTATTTTATTATTCAATGAAATGCCATTATGTCAAGTTTAATTACATTGCACAATCAAAAGAAGTAATTTGTATCAATCTAATTACGCCCCAGGGGCGAGTTGATTAATTGCCCATAAAATTAACACACTTTAATATTTAATACAAGATATAGATAAAACAAATTGATTATTATTTTTAGGATGTGTGAAAAAAACGCGCAGACCCTTGTGTACAATTTTTATATATTTCTAGACATCCAACATTGATGTGTTTCCTGCCCACTCTTGAAAACAATTTCAAGACATTTTAACTGATATCTTAATAATAACTTAAGATTAGATTAAAAACGATTGCATCATTACAACCCCTTGACAGGCGTATTTAAACAACTTATTGTGTTGTATTACATAGCCATTCAAAGTGTGGATTAAGAAAGAGTTTTCTATAAAAAATTGTATTCTTTTCTTTTCGATGCCTTATTGTAATTGTAGATTTCTTTCTTAAATGAAGTTTCATTAATGACAATTCTATCTGTCATGTTCGGATAACAGCAGCTCTTTGATTCTTAGAAAAATACTATGATTAATTTTGCATTTTGCAGTGAGATGGTCTGCTGGATGAACCTGCAATTTGATCCTTAATGATCATCTTGGTCTACCTTTCCTTGCTGGGTTGGCCCATCCAGTATTGGTAAAGATCAAATTACAGGTTTTGACCTCAGGAGGATACCTCACAATTCATGCTGTTGAGGATATATCCCATATGTCAGTACTTGGTCAGGAGGTTGGAATGATACCATGAATTGAATGGGTACCCGAATTAAAACCACCACGATCTAGCCTCCTGATACTAAAAATGCAATAAAAAACATGATTAAAAGAAAGTTGCAACGTCGGTGGACCGGCTTGGCAGAGAAGCTCTCACATATAAAAACAATGTCGATAGGTGGCCCATGGAGTATCTGACTCATAGAAGAAGGGTCATGCTCTCCTGATTAATGATAGGTGAAGTTGGCACAATGACACTTACTTTTGGGTCAAAGCACACCTAATTGATAGACGTTTCCACCTAATTGAAAGGTGTTAGTTCCATATAGAGAGTATACCAGTTACACTACAGATTTGGGACCCCTGTTCCGATTTTTACAGGAAGCAGGACTGTTTTATTTTATATGTATTTTATTACATAAGGTCTATTAAATACATATAAATTTAATTTAAATATACATAAATATTATATGTTTATAATTAATTACTGAAGCTGGAATTGCTTGGACTGTGAGGAGTGATCAGCTTAACTCTGTACGTGTATATGTACATGCATGTGCAGATTTGATTATTGATCACTATCAAAACTATTATTATAACACTATAATTAAATTTGCATATTTGTTAACCTTGTGAATTTTTAATAATAGTTTCAAAGTGCTGGTGATGACAGGATACATTGATCAAAAGTTAGAGAAAAGGATTGAGTCTTTTTTTTAAACATATGCATTATTTATAATCAATGTTTTTAAAAAAAACCTATTAAACGGATTCCATGGTAACTGAACTTAAATTATTACAATTTCGTAACTTACTAAGAAGAGAAAACATAAATTCTAATTGCTTTATTGATTGGATGTAAAAGAAAGTGGAAGGTCATGGCACAAATTAGGAAAGGGCAAGCTTCCAGTAAAGACTTGATGAAGTCAACTCTCCGGCTTCCTCCGGTTTCATTTTCTAAAGGTGAGTTACTCTCTAACAATAATAATTTCAAGTACATTCTCATATTTTATCAATTGAAAATAATTGGATCCTTGGTCACATCGTCAGTGTAACAATAGACAAAAAATTTCTCTGTTGATGTATTGAGTTCCAATAAATGCTATGTTAAGATATGCTAAAGTTTCTCTTCAGAGTTTTTTTTCTGGAGATTTGTAAACTTTTTAAAGCAAAAGATTTGCCTATGAAAACAATAATACAACAAATAGTAACTTCTGACCTATTACCATTAGATCCTAAATGACCAACCCTAAGGCCATTAACCCTTTAACATTCAATTAATTTATTACAGTGAATAATATTTAAATAAATGTCAAAAAAAGGGCAAGGTTAAGAAACAGGGAGGAAAAAAGTTTATCGTTTATTTTGATACTTTATTTTTTCCAGAATACTGACTCATCCTAATGTACAATTATATTTTTGATAGTTAATTGTCATATTCAGTTAGCAAATAAGTAGACAGTAGGACAAGGTCGCAACTCTGATAAAGTAGTTGCTCAATTGCACTGAGAGGTTATTAAATGTCTAGATTATTTCAGCCTTCTAATGTATATTGCCAAAAATAATATGTCACACACAGAAAAGTCAAATATTTACTGCTAGGGCATTATTAACATAGGTTAGATGTATCTTAATGCTGTCATCATTTTATGAACTTGTGAAGTAAATTTTTTATGAAGAGAAATGGCTGGTTATTCGATTCTGACTGACAGATTGAAAATAAAAATATTGTGCCATCCCCTACTACTAATTACAAATACTGAAGTGTTTATTGCAGCAGAATTGTATACAAGTCACTACCAAATGACAAATCCCTAATACTTTGATACTTTCTTTTTTAAGCTTAACCTTTAAATTTTATACAAAAACCCTTGGGCAATTCATCATTTGCTTGTATTAGAGTCTGTGTATCAGCTACAAATTAGATAATCTAGCAAATTGCTGCTTCATTATTCTGAAATATATAATGCACATGTTGTGAAAATAGTCTTATGGTAGCTTTAATGTCTCACATTCACAAAAGATATGATCTGATCTCCTGGCAGAGTTGGCATGTTTCGCAGCTTGGCCTGTCTTCTTTACATGGTAACTAAGAGTGGTCAATAATCTTTAAATCTTGCTTGCTGAGAGAGAAGAGTACCTTTTCCTTCCTTTTTCGAGAGATTTATAAATCTCTTAGATTGCCTGATACTGGTTTTTTGTCCTGTGCTCGACTTTTTCTTGCCAGCATTTTAGCAAAACCCAGTGCGCCTAGTTGCAGTTCCCATGGTGACAAAGCTGTCTCCTGAACGCAGGGTCGGTGGATTCGAACCCGAGACCTTTATCTTACAGTTGATGTGCACCATGTCAATGCCTATACTGTTGTGGCCACTGATGTTCTCCTTGTTGTTCTTCTTAGGGCCATTAGGTAATTTAGGCATTCCCAGACAATTTCAGAGCTAAAAGCATACATATGTATTGGCATGTTTTAGGTTTCCTGGTTGAAATGTTGAGAAATTTTGATTGTTTTCCACCTGGTGAATTCATCTAGTTTGTCAATTCTTTCTCTCTTTGTTCAGTTCCGCTTTCAGCATGTTTCATGGTGTGCCTTTGTGGTTCTGGTCCAAAGGGTGCAACGCTGCTTCTATTTTTGCTAGTTTGTCAGCCTGTTTGTTGCTTAAAATAACTTTAACTCATGACGTCTACCTTAAGGTAACTGTGTTGTGTTCCTAGGTCCATTTGGAAATTTAGACATTCCCAGTCTAGTTTGGAGCTAAAATCATACACATTTACTACCTTTATTGGCAGATTTTAGATTTCCTGGTTGAGAAACTTTCAATGCTTTCCACCTGGTGAATTCATCCAGTTTATAAATTCTTTCTATGTTTCTTCAGTTTCACTTTTAGCATGTTTTATGGTGTGCCTCCTGTTTGTGTTAGTTTTTAAGCTTTCTCGTTGTCTTAAATCCCCCAGCCCTTGTACCCACATCAAACCTAGTTTTGTTTTCCCAGGAGTTGAAGGTACAGCCCATCAGAAAATTGATGGTGTGGGCTCCACACTGTCCACTGCGCCTGGTTGCAGTTCTGGTTGAAAAGGTGTGAGGTTATTTCCTGTTTTTGCTAATTTGTCACCTTGTTTGCCCCTTTAAATCCCATTGTCTCCTGGAACTCACTTTAAGATAACCATGTGAGATATTCCTGGGGCCATTATGTAATTCATATTTCCCAGACTATTTTGGAAATTAAAAACATATCAATTTAGTGCCTTTGTTAGCTGCCTGACTGTCTGAAAGTATGTAAATCCTGGCACCTTTCATTTTCTTCTTAAAATAGATGCAAAACTATATGTTGGCTACATACAAATCACAATAATTATGTTCATTATCTTTGTAAATTTGGCTCAACTCACTCATGAGGGAAATGTGACAAAATAGGTTCTAAGAAACGCATGATCTATAGGTAAAATTTATTTAACAAATAGGGTCGATATTCCATTCAATTACTAATATTAGGATATAGGAGCATCAATTGGACAGCAACAAATTTAAATTGTGCACGTAAAAATATTCCATTTAAACACTTAACCTGTCTAAAATAAATTGTTAGGTTATTATTAGACTGATAAACAAGTTGAATGTTTTTTCTTACACAATATTTTTTTTGTTTCTTAGATAAACCGAATGAAAGAGCCAATGAGTTATCAACAAAGAATGCCCAATTTTCTCTAGATCGAAGAACTAAGTGTGAAGCTCCACATCTCACTAAAAGTCACAAATCGCTGATCCCAGATGTAATATTCAATTTATTTAATCGAATATGTTTATTGTATATTTTTGCTTAAAGTTAGCTAATAAGAAAAATAATTCTTTGAGGACTTAACGTCAAACTACCCATTGGGTGTCATGGACGAGGGTTAAACCACTTTACAATAAATTTTTCATACTATAATCAACTAAAAGCCATGGGCTCTGCTGGGTTCCCCAAGTCAAGTCAGATGCCCTAACCATTCACCCAACATGGTCCCCTTAAAGTATCCTAAAAATATCATTATTGATTGATATAGATAAGCTCAATCCCTATGATTTCTCAAGGCTTGCCTCACCTACTATGGCTTTTTGGTAATCCATGGTCAGACCATCAATGAAGTTAAGCTTCAGAGGCTGTCGACAAAGTCATTTCAACCCCCTACAGTTTTAACCTGAACAACTTCATTCTTAAATCACTGTTTCTTATTTACATATCACATACTCAAATAGGTTATGGTTAATATGCCTCCATCGACACTCTTCTACTATTCACACATTCATACTGATAAATACATTCATAACCAGTTAACGCAGAATAATAAGTGAACACAAAGATTTGCTGCTGTACTTGAACACAATTCTCACATCTGGTGGCAATCCTATACACGCTTCTATAGGCCCAATGTGTTCAAGTACTCAGGCCACTACTGTTTGGCGCTCAGGGAATCGTGAGTTTTCCCTGAACCATTTCTTACCATCCTGGACTTCCTATCAATGCTGATTTGATCTCACATAAGCATTTCAACATTTCGCCATCTTCAATAGTACAATATTTATACAAACCCATCTAACAGACTGAACCAGCAATAGTTGACCAAAATTATACTAACCGACCTAGCTGCAGATTATATTATATCCTTACAAGAACGTTGTCAATTTAAAAAACTTATAAGTAAAAACCAATTATTACAATTGATATTTGAATTATCAGGTTCCAATGACCAAACCATGGTTTGATGCAATGAAAGAAATAACTACACTATTTTTCAATTCTCCAACTCGAACTCGAGAAATAGAAGACGAAGAATTCTTAATTCAAAGAATCTCCAACTTGCCTGCATCATTAAGACCAAAAGTAAGTTTTATTTAACATAAACGTTAAATTTTATTTGACAATCCGACAATTTATGATTTTTTAATATTTCAGTCTGAGTTTGCTTCAGAGATGTATTTATACGCCATTACTGAATTTATTAAGCACTACAGCTGCCTTCAAGAAATGCTTAATGTTTTTCACATTTATCATCCTAAATATGAACTGAGGGACAAAATGTATGATGCATGTAAGGGTGACAACTTTATTTACAATATATTATCTACTTTACAAGTCTAAGTTTGTTGAGACTTAGATGATTTGAAATACCACTGAGGACCCACCATTACAACTAATATAAAAGTTTATATGCACAAACTAAACTTAGAGTTGAAAGGCAGGGTGTTCATAACCTTACATCATTCACATCGATAAATATATTCATACAGGTTAGAACCTTTTATGAAATCACCAGATGCAAACCAATAAAAAAGTTCAGTATTTCAATTAGGAAAACAAAACTATACCTTTCTCGCAGTAGGCAGGAATTAAGGAAAATAATTGGCCATTGGCTATTTAATTACCACAATAAAAATGGGAAAACTTAGAAACTTGCCAAATGACATAAAAAACAGAAACATCAGAATATGTTCAGAATGCAAAGTATTAGCCAAAAAACTAGCCTCCTCGGTATGGCAATATTAATGGCAAAGTGCCATTCTTGAGTATGTAAATAAAAAAATAAACAATAGGCATTTCAGGTTGCAGTGAAAAAAAAGAGACAGTAGCCACCAATGACCTTGTAGAGGAAAAAACCTATTAAAGGTTGGGGAACTGTCATGGTTTTAATATAATTCTGTGACAGCTTCCAAAATAAGTAACCTAACTGGATTGACACACTTAACCATACACACCTATAAATACATTCACACATTGTGTAATAGACTCACCTACATATGCTTTTTTTGCTAATAAATACAATCACATCTAAATAAATCGCATAGATTTTTGCTTTCCTGGTTGAGATGTTGAGGAATCTTAATTATTTTGCACCTGGTGAATTCATCTGGTAAATTCATCTAATGAATTCATTTGTGCACTTCAGCTTTTAGCTTGCTTTGGGGTGTGCTGTGCCAGTGGTCCAAAGAGTATCAGTGCTTTTGCTAGTTTGTTAGCCTATTCATTGCCTTAAATCCCGTCATGCATTGATAACTACACCAAGGTTACCTGGTTTCGTTTTCCCTGGAGTTAAAGATGTTTGGGGCATTCCCCCACCTATGAGTTGAAGGTGGAGCTTAAATCCTTCAATGCTGCTTTGCAATCAGGGAATGTACACCAGTGCCCACCCAAGCCCTTCTGTGGCATAGGAGTCCACGCTCTTAATGCACACCTCAGACAGTAGGGTATGAAGAAAATGAGGGAACACTGGAACTAACTCATTGGACACAAACAATCCAAGAACCTCCTAACAAACTTTAGGAGGAAAAAGGTAACATAATGTATTAAAGGAAGCAGGAAAAACTGTGAATCCCAATAGGATTCTAAACCAAGCATTGCAAACTAAATGGACATCTGAAGAAGATTACAACCCAACACGGCACTTGCAGATCCTGCAAAGAAGGAGATCTACTAACAAACTATAGTGCTACACTTGCCCGCAGGAGGAAGTGTTTTGGAACCTACAATGTAAACATAGAAGAAATTCAACCACTGAAACTGGGCCTACTAATCAAGGTCCTTAGGATGCTATAAGCACAGAAAGGGGGAAACAACAGCTCTTAAAGTGCACAACATAAAACATTCTCTGGCTAATACATCTACATCTACACCTGTGCACTTTTTAATCCAATTTTGAAAATATTTCTTGTACACAAATTATATTGCATGGATGTCAATTTGGAAAATTCATAATATGGGGCCTAGAGGTCAAAATTTTTATCTTTGACTCCTGCCTCCAGTCTATGTTCCATTTTAGATCCTTCTACCATAATAAAGCTGCTCTGTTAGTATCAGGGTTTTTTTAATTTTTCCTAACTCTTTTTAGGAAAGAGTTGCTTTTTTATCTGAAAGGGTCTGTCAAAATGATCTTTTAATGTCATTTTTTTCAGACACTTTTATAGGCATTTTAGTATTTTAATGGTGGCTTTCTGTTAGATCATGGACATATTACTAACTAAATGTATTCTAAATCATTATAAAAAACAAAACTTGCTCATTTTTAATTTGGGCTGGTTTTTGAGCTGTTATAGTTTAATTTTTTTTCTAAGTAGACACCACATTGTTCTTTTTTTCTGATAAGGTGCCCAAGGGTTAACCGGGTATGGCCAATCCTCAGGCATATTAATACTGTTGTCTCCACTCTTTTAAGATTCTGTATAGCACATGGTTTCACCATGCATTTTCGGTGGATGTTTTTGTTAAAAATAACAATAAGTCTAATGTTAAGCTCTTTGATGTTCAGCTAACTTGACTGTTTTATTTGCAGTGTTGTTATACATATTAATATTCAGGGTGACTGAAAAAAACGCGGATAAAACGAGTGAGTTTTTAAGTGAATTGTCTGCCGAGTCTATGTTACCATTGTTGAAATTTCTCAAAAAACGGAATAACAGAGTCGACATGTGCGAAGTTGCAGCCGTCTTCTACTCACTGGATTACATAAGGGATAGATTTAGTTTTGAACAGGGATTCACGCATAAATACTTTCAGGTATTTGTTATTGATGACATTTTTTCCCCCAAGAGAAAATTAAACATTAGCCAATCAGATCATTATATTGAGGACGATTGTTTATTACACATTGGTTAAATTTTGAATTAACAATAAGTTTGCTTAAGAACTTTCAGAACAATTTAAATTCAGCATATCTGAGCTAGTTAATAACAGCATAAAAAATTTTTGATTGCCATGTATTGGATCCAAAAATGCCAATAGCTCCATAACATGTAATTTTATAAATATATTGGAATTAAAGGGACACCGTACTTAATTGATTCTAAATGAACTTCATACAGTCAATCATTAATATTTAGATGTAGGAGTAATTCTTTTAACCTAAACAATAAGCCACAAATAATTTTAAACAATATAAATTTGTTTCAAGATTTAATTATTATTTTTAAATATTTATTTATAGAAAATATTCAGGGAAACTGAAGTCAGAATGTTACAAAAAGCGCCAATATTGTACAAACACCAGTGGGTTTATAACAGAGGCGAGTTTAAGCATTTTAAAGCATTGCCGAAATCCGAAATGCCTGAGATACCAGTAAAGGTAAATATAAAACCTTTTTGATTAATTCACTACTTTCGTGGTCCGCGTGACCAATTAATACATGTCGATTAATTAAGGTTTTTAGTTGAGATGAAAAAAAGTTAATGGCACGAGAGGGATTCGAACCCACGACCTTCGGCTAGATACGTCGCTGCTCTACCACCTGAGCTATAGTGACCTCGTGTGTTCAAATCCCTCTCGTGCCATTAACTTTTTTTCATCTCAACTAAAAACCTTAATTAATCGACATCTTTTTGATTAAATTCATAGCCAGAAATTGTAATATGTTTAGAATTCTTTTGGGACTTAATATACTCTTATTAAAATTCTGACAAGTTTTTTCATATTTTCATCTTAAGATTAGTTTTCCTTCTGATCATTAATGACTTTAGTCTTCCTTTCTTCCATTACAATCTAATAGATAATCGTGGAATTGGCCCTTATTTATTTCCATTACCTTTGAGGTTCCTCTTCTCTAATTTCTCAATGTGTTAGTATCCTCTTTCTTGAGAGGTTGTTCATATGCTGGAATGGGATGAAAGGACATATTCCAGTGTGTATGCTGTTTCATGGCAGAATTGACAGGTTTCTGACAGTTTATTCCAATTGTTTATAGAGGCAATGGCTAGTGTAAAATCCTTTTATTAATTCTTGATTAATGTATAGTTAATTCCTGCCTGCCAAGAAAGAGGTAGATTTTTGTTTTCTGGGTTGAGATGTTGAGAAACTTTGATTGTTTTCCACCTAGTGATTTCATGAAAGGTTTTGTCCTGTATGAATGTATTTATCAATACATGATGTACTCAAGGTTTGAAGCATTTCCAGGCCTGAAGAATTTTATGGATGGATCTCAACTTTGAAAATTAATAGTGAGGCTTCACACTTTCTTTTGTGCCTAGTTGTGGTCCTGGTATAAAGAGTGTGAAGTCTCCATCTTGTTTTACTAGTCTCTCAGCTTATTCAGTGTTAAATCCCCATGTCCCTCAGTACCCACATAAAATTTACCCAAGTTTTGTTTTCCCAGGAGTTGGAGGCATTACAGACCTTCTTTGAGTACAGTCTAAAACCTTCAGTGCTGCTTGGCTGTCTGAGATTATACATCTGTGGACGTTTTAATCCCTTTTTTAAGTATTTCTTGTACACAGAGTTCTATACATGTATCTCAACTTTGAAAATAATGATGTGGTCTCCACACTTTCCTGTGTCTAGTCGTGGTTCTGGTCCAAAGAGGGAGAGGTCTGCATTGCTTTTTCTTGTCTGTCAACTTATTCAATCTTAATCACCCGTGCCTCAGTACTCACATAAAAGTTACCTGGTTTTCCCAAGATTTGGAGACATTACAGATCTGCTCTGAGTTGAAGATAGAGTCAAATCCTTCAGAGTCTCTTGGCTGTATGAAAATACTCCAGGAGATTTTGGTCCAAAGGTGTTGTGTTCTCCTAGGCCCATTAAATAATTCAAACATTCCCAGACTAGTTTCTGGCTAAAAGTATACACATTTTTCCCTTTGTAGCCTGACTGTCCAAAAGTATATAAATCCATGCACCTTTTTACTTTCTCCTTTATCAATTCCTGTCTACAAAGTTGGATCATATGGACCTAAGGTTAAACTATAGTCCGAACTAGTCCAAGGGGGGTTTTGCTAGGAAGAAATTCAGCCCCTTTACGTCCACCTAACTGATTAATTAATCAAATCCTCCAACATAACATTGTCATGTTATCATGACATGTTATTAACAAAACATTATCAGGGTTGACTGGTTATGTTTTGCCAGGAGTCTGAGATATGTTCAACCCAGACCTGCTTCCCTTCAGAGTTCTAATGTATGGATTTCAGCTTGGAAAATTGATCATGTGGGGATGGAGGTTTCATTACACAAGGTCAAAATTTGGGTCTTTGACTCCAGCCCCCACGCCACACTCCATTTTAGATTTATAAGGCTAATAAGGCTCCTCTATTGATCTGAGGAATTTTATCCTTCCAAGTTCTTAATAGTTTTCTTTGTAAGAGTTTGTCAAAATTTTCTTTTAATTACCTTTTGCACTGACATTTTTGTTTTTAACCTCCTTTAATATTCTGTATGCCACATGTTGTATATTGTAACAAATAGATAGATATCGATATGAAGATAAATCGAGAGTAGGAAGTTTTTATTGTAACCCTGTATGGTTTTTTTTTCTCTTCGAAATAAAGTTGTTGTCGGTTACCACGTGTCTTCAATTTTTACCTTTACGGATTTTATCCGATTTAAGTTCGGGATCTTATCCCAGGCTATAACAAACTGGCGACGAGTGAGGAAAAACAGAAAGAATCCATCAAAAGAATGTCCACTTCAGTTCTACCGCCTCCGGTCATGTTTAATCATGAAAGCGGATCATGGACACTTTTTCTGAAGAGATTGGGAAACCTTTTTATTACGTATAACGTAAGTGATGAAAACATAAAAAAAGCTTATTTGCTGGCGTCATTAGGTGACAGTACGTATAATCTTTTGATTAGTTTGTGCATCCCAAGTGATCCTGAAGAGACGAACGTGACTTTTAAGAATATTGCAGATCTCCTGTCGAACCATTTTAAACCTGTCCGAGCGATTCTTTGTTATAGACAAGATTTTTATTCGGCCAGGCAGGAAGAGGACGAAAACGTGACCGTATTTTCAGCCAGGCTACGAACGTTAGCAAGTTATTGTGCTTTTGGTCCCGAGTTAGACAACCTCCTACGAGACATCTTTATCATGGGCCTCAGGGATAGCAATGTAAAAAACCGCCTAATGGAAGAAGATGTGTCCAAACCCGATTTTGACTTTGCAAAGGCTCTGAAACTGGCTTCATCAAGAGAAGCAACCACAAATTACCAGGTAAACCAACCCACTCACACAATTAAGACAGAATTAGCAGAAATACACAATATAAGACAGCCAGGAGGAAACAAAAATAAAACCACTTCCAAGTGTTTTCACTGTGGATGGAAAAATCACCAGGCAAAAGACTGCAAATTCAAGAACGCTACTTGTCATTCCTGTAGCAAAGTGGGCCATTTAGCTTCCATGTGTAAATGGAAGATCAAAAGGAAAGTTGTCTCTAAACATAAATTTCTGCCAGAGGAAAAAGAAGATGAAGTTTGTCTAAGTGATTCACTTTTTTCAATACAAATGGAAAACAACAACGATAAGCCTAAGCCTATTCAAATCGAACTAATGGTGGAAAATAAAAAACATGTTTTCGAACTGGATACAGGTTCAATTTATAATGTGATTTCTAAGAACTATTACATGAACCATTTTCAGTCATATCCAATTAGAGAAAATGATATTAGATTGACGGATTATGTGGGCCATCCAATCAGACCCATCGGGAAAACATTGATACCAGTAAATTGTCCTAAATACAATGGAAAAATGGAATTTTACATTATAGATAAAGGAGGACCTCCACTGATTGGAAGAAAGGGGTTGAATCTACTAAATCAAACTGGAGTTAGTCAAATTTTCTATAACGAGATGAAAATATGTCCAGATGCCCCAGAGGACATTAGGCAGATATTATCAGAATTTCCCTCTGTGTTTTCCAGAGAAGGAGGCGTTTTCTCAGGTAAAAAAGTCACTTTGAAAGTCAAAGAAAATGTGAGACCAGTCTTTTTGAGGGCCAGAACTTTACCAATTGCATTGAAGGACAAAGTGGAGGAAGAACTGAAACGATTAGTGAAAGAAGATATTTTGGAACCAGTAGACCATAGCCCATGGGGAACGCCAATAGTTCCGGTGCTGAAACCAAATGGGACCATTAGAGTCTGCGGAGATTACCGCTGTACAGTGAATCCATTTTTGGAAGAAACGGGTAACTCCCTACCCAGAGTTGATCACCTGTGCTCTAATTTTGGAGGAGCTACTTGCTTTTCGAAAATAAACCTAAGAAATGCCTATCAACAATTGGAATTAGATGAAGAATCAAAACAAATAACAACAATTAACACACATATGGGGTTGCTGAGATATAAAAGACTGTGCTTTGGGATTTCCACAGCTCCAGCAGTGTTTCAGAGAATCATGGATAAACTATTGACTGGAATCAAAGGCGTGGGCACCCTGCTTGATGATATTTGTGTGACTGGTAGGACAAGGCAGGAGCACAATCAGAAACTAAAATTGGTATTATCAATATTAGAAAAAGCGAATCTAAGAGCAAACCCCACAAAATGTGTTTTTGCCCAAACATCGATTAACTATTTGGGACATGTCATAGATAAAAATGGGTTGCACACCACTGATCAGCATGTCAAAGCCATCCGAAATAGTCCCCGACCAAAAGATGTAACAACATTGAAATCTTTTCTAGGAATGGTAACTTTTTATATCAAATTTATACCTAAAGCAGCTGAAATATTACATCCTTTGTACAGCTTACTAAAACAAAATAACAGATGGATCTGGTCAGAGAAATGTGAACAAGCCTTTAAGAAGATAAAACAGGTTTTGACCTCTCGCCCAGTACTTACACATTTCAATCAAAAGCTTCCATTGAGATTGACAGTGGATGCTTCAGCAAAAGCGGTGGGAGCTGTTTTGTCCCATGTACTACCTGAAGGGGAACGGCCAATCGCCTATGCATCGCAAGTGCTGAATTCAGCCCAACAGAAGTATCCATCGATCGAACGAGAGGCTTATGCCATTATTTTTGGATACACAAAATTTAAGGACTATCTGTTCTGTAAAGAATTTGAGTTGGTGACGGATCACCGTCCACTGATGTACATTTTTGGAGCAAGAAAAAAACTCCCTGTCTATGCGGCAAATCGACTTCAACGATGGGCATATCTCATTTCAAATTATAATTATAGTATAAAATGTGTTAAATCAAAAGACAACTGTGCAGACTACCTATCTCGTATAGACTGGGGTAAACAACCAGCGATAGATCCATTGGATGAAGTGAACTATTTTCATTTTGTGGCAGAAACAGTGCCATTTAGATTAGATTGGAAGAAAATAAAACAAGGGACAAGAAACGATCCAGAGTTATCAAGAGTGGTTGACAGTGTGGTTCAAGGCTATAGATTACCAAGAGAAATAAAGTACGAACCATTCATACGTCGAGATAAAGAACTCACTGTGGAAAAAGGATGTCTGATGTGGGGTTACCGTGTGATCATCCCCCAGAAATTTCGAGAAACAGTTCTACGAGAGCTTCATGCAAATCATTTTGGATCGACAAAGATGAAGAGTCTAGCTCGCTCATATTTCTGGTGGCCTTCAATGGATAGCAACATTGAAAATATATCAAAAGATTGTGAAGTTTGCTGCAGATTTAGAGAAAACCCCCCAAAATCCATTCTTCAGCCATGGTCATGGCCATCAACAACCTGGACAAGACTTCATGTTGATTTTTTAGGACCGATCAACCGCAACCACTGTTGTCTAGTGATAATGGATGCAACATCAAAATGGATTGAGAATTTTTTTGTAGTGTCAATGACAGCAGCAGTTGTTATAGAAAAACTGCAAGAATTATTTGCAAGGTTTGGATTGCCAAGAGCAATTACCACAGATGGAGCAAAGTGTTTCACTGGGAAAGAATTTACTTCATTTTTAGACAGTCTGGGAATCATCCATTTATGTGGAGCTCCTTTTCACCCTCAGACAAATGGAGCAGCTGAATCCGCAGTAAAAACCATGAAACGGTGTATTCAGAAAACGTTAGCTAGTAAAGAAAATATAAGTTTGAAGACTGCAGTGGACCTCTACCTGTTCCAATATCGTAATATGGAACATTATGCAACAGGGGAGACACCTGCAAGTATGCTACTAAAAAAACAACCAAGAACAATTTTTACTCAAATGCTTCCCTCATCAGAAGGTACATTTAAGTATGAGGCAAAAATGATAAAAAACTCTGGTTGGAGAAATCTCATCCTGAATAAGGAAGATCAAATCTGGGCAAAGGATTTCAGAGAACAAAAACCTAAATGGACTAAAGGAGTAGTTGTAAAAAGATTAGGCAACCAAACGTTTTTAGTAAAGACTGAAGAAGGAAAGATTTGGAAACGCCACACAAACCAACTGTGGCCAGGGTCATCAAGAAATTATGAAAAAGAACAACAAGACGTTCAGAAAGAAAGGGTAGATGAAGAAAGGTGGCCGTCAAGTGCAGAAGAAGATGTAACCAACAACCCAGAGGAGAATAGTACCAAACAAGAAACTGAGGAGGCAGAGGATAAAGAAACATCATCAGAGAGGCTACCAGAACTAATGATGAAAACACCAAGGTTGCTTCGGCCAAGAGAGAAGTTAAAACCAGCAGTGCGGTATTCTCCCTCGAGTGAGTGAAAGTGAGTGAAGTGAGGATATAAAGATTACATTATATACAAAATTGATTATTAGGGGGAGATGTATATTGTAACAAATAGATAGGTAGGAAGTTTTTTATTGAAACCTGTATGGTTTTTTTCGGAATAAAGTTGTTGTCGGTTACCACGTGTCTTCAATTTTTACCTTTACGGATTTTATCCGATTTAAGTTCGGGATCTTATCCCAGGCTATAACACCACAATAAGACCTTTCTACTATTCTCAGTGTTTTTATTATCCAAAACATCATCAGCCTCATCAAAATTAAATTAGTTCATCCTTATATGCTTTTGAGAATTGAACTTATATTTTTAGAAATGGAAACCGTTGAAACCTAAGCCAATTCCCAAGTCTTTATATGTGAAGCCTTTACCTAAAGCTCGAAGGAAAAAAAGAATGAGTACCAACAAAACGAAAGAAAGTAAAAGAAGCGAACTGACAGAAAGTGCTGAGACTGATAGAAAAACGTTCAATAATACTAGTAGCATGATGTACACAATCAAAACTGAAACTGCATACCAGTCGACAGTAACTGATTCGACTGTACTTGATTCGAACCATATGCAATTTTTGGATGATAAGAATGCAATTAGCAGGGAACTATTATCTGAGAATCAATTCAATCGGTCATCTGATCAATATGACACTTATATTCCACCACCTTATGATTACGATTCAACAGGTAGGAATGACTTGAGATCCAACATGTCTAAATTAAGCGAGACTGATAATAATGATAAAAGCACAGATGCTAAAACAGATCCTTTATTAACGACCACTTCAAGGGATGGTTTTGACAAACCTTCAAAAAATTCTGTATATTCTGGCAATGCAATACTTGAAAAGTACGCAAAGATTGGAAAACTTGGTAAAAGTGGAAAAGTTGAGAAAAATAAAAAAATTTCGTATGTTAATAAAATGAACTGCATTAATAAAAAAGGAGCTAAGGATGTTTCATGGGAATATAAACCTGTACGTAAAAGGATAGAATTTAAAACAATGCCTATAATCAGGGTAAGTTTTATTATTTTATTTTTTTATAAATTCAATTAAATATCATTTATCCAATATGAAGTGTTTATTTAATTTAATTTTTTTTTATCCTAGAACCAACCCCCAGTTATTCAAAATAATGCAAACGTTTTAAGAGATGCAAAAATATTGGCAAAAGAAAAAAACGAGCAACTTCGGAGGTATCTCAATTGTTCAAATTTAAATAGATTTAAACAAAAAAAAATATGTTGTCTATATTCTTGATTTTGTTTTCCAGGCTTGATGAGTTGATTTCAGCATCACAGTCATTTGTTGACTATGAAAGTATTCTTGAAAACTACAGACAAATGCAGGAAGAAGAGGAAATTCTGGAAATCGAGCGTAAACATCTAGCTGGTTTGATAAGTCGAGAAGAGGCGATTCTTGCCAAGCAGAATCTCATGTTGGAAAACGCCGAAAAGAGGAAACAATTTGAAAAAGAGGTTAATATCAGATCAAATTATAATACAACTTACTTCTGACTGAAGAACTATATATATATTTTTTTTTTAGAAAAAAGAACTAGAAAGCAAACTAGAAGAGTTTCGTGCTCAAGAATTGATAAATGCACAGAGGGTCGTATGGGAGACAAGAGAAATCAGTTGGAAGATTAAGGATAAACAGTGCCAGATTTCACAAGAAAGAAAAAAGTTGGGTCAGAACATTTCTCACTTTTCCTTGTTATTTCAGATCTCTTTTGATTTTGTATTGATAAGTTCAGAAATAATAATGCTTTATTTTATTACCATGCTATAACAGCATGTCAAAGTACTTAAATTGCCTTTAAAAAATATAACATTTAGGTGCATATTGACAAAAAGAAAACAAACATTGAAATTGCTAACTAAGATGTAACCAATTTGTATAATAAAAAAAATAAACTCATCTTTTTGTAAGCTAGAAATTCAGTTTTAAAAGTTAAACTTTTGTAGCAATTCAAATCTGTAATTATATGCTTCACTGAGGAACAGAAGAGCGTACTTTGGTATTTAATGAAGGGAATGGCCAGTGGATTATGGATTTGGGCCATTTTTTTTTTTTTTAATTCTACACTACAAAATATCAGACACTTATTGTGAATATGCTCTGGTTATGCAAAAAAAATGAGTTGAAATTTTCCATATTTTAATATTTTCATTTCACCTTTCTACTTGCTAAAATCAACTATGTGAATATATAATTTTACAGTATTTTTTATGTTGTGTATATATTGCAATAAAAATATAACAAAAGCAATCAGTTTATCAATAACCAAAAAATTTCTAAAAACCAAATATTTTTGAAGTAAACAAGATTGTAATTTTTTCAAGAAACTGAAATGAAATTTCGTTTCAGCACCTCCAGAGACCCCTACAATTTTTATTAACAAAATTATTTGCAAAATTAACCTCTTTTTTTCAATGGAAAAAAAATCCCTAACCAATTTTCGAGTAGAACCATCCTTTTAAATTATTGGGTTAGGGTTAGGTATTGGTTAAGCAAGGTAGTTTAAGTGGCGGGTTAGGGTAAGTAGGGTTAGGGTTAAAGATGGGTCAGGTTAATATATAGTTAATCGATGCTTGAGGTATCAATACAAAAATTTATAATGATGTGTTTTTTGTTGCTATTTTAGGCAGAGAGAGATACCGTCAAAGGGAATTGAACAATAAACAGATATATGAAAAGGTAAATATACTATTGATGTATATTACAGTTTTATCTCTGATAAATAAATTTGAAATATATAATTTTGATAAATACATTTACACAATAATGTATTTTTATGGTTTGCACCCTAGCAAATATTTCAAAATTGCATGTATAAATTAAAAACTGTTTAAAGTGTTGAATTAATTTTTTTAATCAGTGACAGCATTTGTTTATTTGTATTTGGTTTCTTTTTAGAGAAAAGAAGAACTCGACAAAAAGATCGAATTAGTAAGACAGTTCAAAGCATTTCAAATTATGCACAAGGAAACATTAGAACTTCACAAACTCAAATTGAACAATTTATATCAAATGAGCAGTGATGAAGTAAGTATAACACAGAAACTTAAATGATGTTACTGTAAACAATTTGAAAAAATATAACAAAGGGCCTTTGAGCCATAAAATATTCATCATTTGTTCAAATAATCTATTGTTACACTACAAAACTATAATAAGTCATTGGTTTTATGAGTCTAATAGTTATACCAATGAGATTTTTATCTTTTTTGGCTTTCATATAATATATTTCTATTTATATAGTTCATAAGGCTTAAAATTAAATTAAATCTTAAAATTATCAAAATGCTCAGCGTACCTGATCAAAGCCCAATATGACATATTACTGTGCGTGCTAGTTAGAAAATATGTTGTCCTTTACTACTTTTGTAATAGATACATTATAATTTGTATTGATTGTTTGTACTACACTTTTGCAGTTGAAAATCAAAATAGAGCATTACAAGCAAATGTTAAGAGATGAATTACAAAAGAGGCAATGTTTAGTTATTGATAAAAGACTGGAAAGAAAAACACTTTTGATCGCCGCAAAAGGTTTCGTCCAAGAAATGAGACAATGTAAAAAGTATGTCATTTCAAAATATTGCTCTCTTATAAGTGATAATAATAAAAAAATACATTTGTATAGAAAAATATGTCTTTAAGGATGACTAATGAAATGTGATTTGCTATAATTTGTCATTATTAGTTGTCTGAAGTAAAACAGGTAGTTTGCTGTGTTTATAAGACAATCAGAGCAATCAGAGAGAGCTATTAAATAGTTTTGTTTGATGCAAAGTATATGAAAGATATTATTATGTCACTATGTTCCAATTAGTGAAGGAAGAGACATTAAAGTTAATTTTTCTATGTAGGGAAAGTGATATAATTCAAAAGTTGGAAAAGGAAAATAAGATCTAGCACAGTGGAAGCCAATTCTTGAACCTATATATATATTGTAACTTAGTGACCATTCCAACTCTGTCCATTGAAAAAAAAAATAAATAAAATAAAAAATAGTTTCACTACGGAATGATCCGAAAAATTTCTATCCTTGATATAAATCTAAGCAATTGATATGATGCCCTATTGCAAATGTCAATGACATGTAACTGGAACAATAGATAATTCCTAAGGAGTCCATTCATTAAATAAGGATAGTTGAGAGTGGACTGTTCAGATAGTTGAGTGATGACTGAGGAGAGAGGCAGTGAGAAAAAACTTGACAGATTTGATTATTTGTACAAAATCATCTACAAGTTATTCATGAGGATGAAAAGAAATGGATATAAATGAATGTCCTGAGGCCTGGACATAAGTTTCAGTGATATATTTTCACCATTGGACAAAAACCATCTTAGCAACAATTCTCCAAGAGCTTGTAATTTCTGTAATTTTAATCTATTTGTAATTGTAAGGAATAGTATAAACATTATTTCATAACAATTTGACAATTATTATTCCATTGTTTATTTGTCAAGAATCCTTGATTGCAACATTATGTTACCTTTTTACCATTTAAAATCTGTGCAGATATTTGATAGAAATTTGGACATAAAGAAGGTATCCATAAATCTCCTAAGGTTTCATTAGTTGTAATATTTGGCTTTTATATACATTAAAAAAGTCAGTGTCATGATGTCCAGTGAATCATAGATACATAACCTAATCCATATTTAAACCTAACCTGTCCCTTATGCTAACCCAATAATCAAAAAAGGATGGTTCTAATCACATATTGGTCTTCCAATGATCCAGATTTTGAACTGTAATAGCTCATCACCCTAGGTAAATTACGTAGTTTGACGAATGATTATGGCTCAAAATTGGTATCATGAATTTTTCTTAAACCCTTCCTGCCAAGAGTAAGGAATTCCTTCACCTTCCTTTTTGGGAGATTTATAAATCTTTACTAATTATGGGTGTTTTTGTCCAGTTGAGTTTTTCTTTCTCAAGCCATTTTTCCAGTTCCAGCTTAAGCAAACACTCTGGGGCACTTAGTAATTCTGACCCCAAGGGTGGAATGGCTGCCCCTTTTTATGCTAGTTGGTCAACCAGTTCTTTTCCTCCTATACCTTCATGTCCAGAAACCCACTTTAAGCCTTGTTTCCTTGAGCCATTATGCAAATTAGGCATTCCTAAGTTTGGAGCTGAAAGCATTTATTGGCTTTATAGCCTGAATGTCATATAGAGCATGTAAATCTCTGCATTTTTCTTATTTTTTGAACCATCGTTAGCAAATAATGAATGATCTACTCCATTGTAATCAGTTTTTAATAACCCCAACCCATCCCAAACATCACCTAACCCAACCCTTCCCATGCACAGGCAAAAAATGTACTTATTTGTTTTTAACTTGTATTTTAATTATTATATTATATTATTATAATTATGTTTTAAGCTTATATTTTGAGATACAAGATTGTGAATGTTGTGTCATGAATATTTATAACTTTAAACACCAATTCACTATGTTTGAAACTTAACAGTTTCAGCCCTGTAGGTTGATTTTCATATTTGTTAACCTTGTAAAATATTAATAATTAATTGTCGATATATTCTTTGAAAACTTGACAAAGGAACTGATTGGTTTTTCTTTCAAATTAGGCTTATATTAATTATATTATCGAGATAATAGTTTTTACGCATGATCCCTATGATTTATAACTATTTATTGGTTATTCTATGGTTCCTTTTTCCAGTTTAGATCACTACTTTCTTTTAATATTACAAGTTAAACATTTGTGTTTCCTTTTATTTCTCATTATTTTAGGAATTGCAATGGTCATATATAAATTCAGTTCAAGGGCATCCCAGTTCTAATTAGTACTGTTTAAAACCTAGATAATTGTTATGCTGTTAGATAAGTAAAAATTAAAAATTGCCTGTTTTAGAGACTTAAGAGAAGAATCTATTAGAAGAAGACCCTTGAGAATGGAAGTAAGGGACACAAAAGAAATATTGGATTTAAAAACAAAATATAATCAAGCGAGAATACAAAGAGTTAGAAATTTAGAACTTCTTAACTTCGGCCCCATCAAAAAAGACAAATAACGCAATATGAGAAACAAAAGCATCAAAATGTATATTACACTTTAAATCATCAGTTAAATAATAGCGAGACAATGCAGATTTTTTCAGTAATTTATATATATACAAAAAATTTAATAAAAAATGAATTAAAAATGATTTTCATATAAAAAGGCTTTTTTTTTATCCATTATTCATTTTGAAATATTTACATAGCTTTATAGCACAATTTTAAGAGAACTAGTAGGTCAATTCAGAGAGTACAACATGGGATCACAGTGAGGATTTAAAACAGAAATTAACTTTAAACCGCTTTGACCATAGTGCACAACAATGTGTCGATGACCTGGAGGTTCTCTGTCTGAAGAATGGAGAACTCCAGCTATTTCTTTTGCTGTAGGTTTGTGAAATCTACGCACATTCATTGGTATGCTATCAATAAAATGCAAATTAAAGTTAAAACTTTTGTCTTGCATTATTTTAGCTGCAGTCTTGTACACTTCAGCTAAAATGCCACCAAGGGCTGTCAAAAATGCACGGTCTAGTTTTGTATTTTCTGGGGATCCTGATGTACATTGTCAGCTTTGGAGGAATTGATAAAATATAATTGACTGTATGATGGAACATCACCCTCACATGGCAACAAATTAAATATGAATCGGTGAATCTGTCCTAGCAGTAAGATCGAACTCCTCGAATTTCTTTCCTTGTGGCAGAAAAAGAGGCGAATACAGTTGCGCTGTTGTAATTCCATATATAATTTATAAAATTTGGACAATTAAGAAGTAGTTCCTTTAACTCCAAACTGCTCCTTCATTAAATAAATAAATAAAATAATATTTAAAAAATATCAATAGTATTAATTAATAATAAACTTAAAAAGTCACACTCCCAGAAATGTCAAACATGTAGGGCAATTGGATTATTGGGATACTTCTTCAAATTTATACCAAACCTTTCAAGATGGTACCTTAGTAGACAAAAATGGGTGCTAAATGGGATTGACCCCAGGAATGTGAATCTGTAAGGAATAACAGTATTAATAGAAAACAGTCACATCTGAGATCGCCTCCCCATCCCACCACCTCCATGGGGTCTGACAGAGAAGGTGTACTTTTGCACCTCCACCTCTGCACTTGCACCACCCCCGCCCATTCACCTTCTTTGGAGATACTGGGACATTTTTTCCAGTACAGCAAATTTTGACCTTTCATTTTCACATTGACAAACTGTTTTTTCCCCCTCATAGTAGTTTATTTTTTGCAAATCCTACTTTCGGGCAACAAGATGACTTTACAAGACAAGACTTTAATATTGATTTGACTAAAAAAATGACAGTCAGTTTTTTCCCTGTACTCTTCAAGTATATCTGTACTTTCTTACTAGATCTCTACCGGTAAACCAATATATTTTACCTTCCCTGGCCAGAAACATTCTACATTTTGGAGAATAAAAGCAATTTTTTGTAGGAAGATTTTAGTTTTGTGGTTGAACGTAATGCTCATAATTTTCAGCAAAAACACTCCTATTTTATTTAATAACTTGTAAGCAGCTAAGTAGGCTGACATTTACATTTTTTCTATCAATGGATTGTCATTAAGTGGGAGATATTTTTTTTCATACTTCTTCAGACCCTTGCCTAACACCTTAAAAAATGATCGACCACTTTCCGATTGTCACTGATTTTTTTTTTTTTTTTACCATTATACAATAATTAAAAACACATCAATTTACTATTCCAGTGAAATTCAATAGAAAATACAAACCTACACTATTTTAAAACTGGAAAATGTACAAAATAAAAAATACCTTACAAAAATGCGATGTTCATGACTCGCCGCCGGTAAGAATAATGGCGAATGCCGGGAATCGTCCCGCCAGCTGATAATTAATAATCTTACAATTATTCATAACGAAGTAAAGAACAATTTATAAACGTTTAAAAATTATATGAAACATATATTCAAGAAGGTTTTATTTGTAAATTCGGTCTAATAATTTCTAAAATTTAAGTATAATTTTGTACTGCCGGGAGAATGTTAATCAAACGGGCAATGATCAGACAACGCATCGATTTTCCCGTTTAAAAAAATGAAAATAATTTTGGTTTATTACTATTTGTAATATGCGATTATTCATATGGGTTAATGTTTTATAAAAAAAAGATTTGAACAATGTTATATTTTTGTATCATTGTATCAGGGTCCCCTTGTATCATTGGCCATTTCCCGCCTTTCACATCGTGAGGTTGCATCTGTTGTCAGGACTTCACTTCTTCTCCGTAAGCTTTTATTTAAAACTATTCTCATTTTGCCTTAAAAAATCTTCTTTGTCGGTCAAATCTCAAAAAGTAGTTAATTAAATAATTTAGCAGTTACCCGTTTCAAAGATTGAATTATTAAAGTAAAATCAGTACGGCTCATCAGATCAACTGACAAAATTTTAAAAGGGAAATAGAACAATCGTATAGCTACTTGTTACGTTTTATTATAACAAAACAATAAAATTAACCAAAATTATATTTCCGAATTGGAAAATATCCATTTCTTGAGATTTAATTGAAATTTTGCCATCTTGAGTCGACCCGAGGAGAGCCGAAAGGCATCTGATACATGACCCAAATGAATCAATATTTAAATGATATAATAATTGAAAACTGGCCAATTTTCAGTGAAATTTAATAGGAAACCTAGACCAAGACCATTTAAAACTGAAAAATTATAAAAAAATAACTAATATTTTATAAAGAAATGATGTTCAATGGTAACGACCTACGACCCACTGATATAAATTAATCGTACAATCATTTACAACGGAATAAAGACATTGGGAGATGTGTTAAAAATATAAAATGTTTATTTAACAAATATCAGTTTTTATTTGAGTATAATTATCTTAAATAAGCAAGCAATATTTAGCACTGTCTGGAGAATGTTAATCAATATAGCAATGGACATATACAACATTAATTTCTTGGTTCATTTCAATTTAAAATTTAAAATTAATACTAATTCATAAATATACATAAACTTACATATAAGAAAATGTCATAATTGACCGTACTAATTATTTTCATTAATTATACTTTTTATCTAAGGTCTTGGTAGAGATGAAAAATCTAGTGGCACGAGCGGGATTCGAACCCAAGACCTTCGGCTCAATACGCCGCTTCTCTAACCACTTGAGCTTGTCACGATATTTCAAGTGACAAAAAGTATAATTAATTAAAATTGTATATAAACATATAGAGTAGGGACTCGGTGCCCTCAACGACTGTAAGGTAAAGGCCCCGACATACGTTACAAATGGATTTTTTTCAAAACACCTGCACCCGAGGGTTCATATAACCTCTTATGGTTAAAATTTGATCTCGCAATAAGGATTATTATTAAAAGTAAATGAGTTCAGTTTTTATAAGTATCTCTAACATACCTTACCAACTCTATTTTTTTTTCTCTAAATAATGGACGTCTTGTGGTAAATAATGTGAAAAACAACACTTGGCAACTTTGGTCATCCGCTTCTGTACAGTAGTATCCATTGTATTTGTCACTTCCTTTAGCCCTGACTAAATAAATCTAGTAGTGTAGTGCCGAAAATGCCAATTCTCCTTACAAGTTGCGCCAGGTGATCTTGGGTTTCTCTCCGTATTATCTCCAGTTTTTTCTTGTTGGATTTCATTGAGTATTCTCGCTGGGTTTGTATGTCATTCGCACTGGTATTCTCTACAATTTATCTCCGGTTTTCCCTTCGTTTTCTTGTTGGATTTCACTGAGTATTCTTGCTGGTTTTGTCTGTTATTCTCGCTTTTTTGCGTATTGTTTCAAGTATTCTCTACCTATTATCCCTAGTTTCCTGTGCGTATTCTTGATGAGTTTCTTTGAATATTCTCGGTGGTTTTGTCTGTCATTCTCGCTCGCTTGTTTTCTCTGGATATCCTTCTTGTTTTTCTATATATATTCTCGGCTTGTCTGTCATTCCCGCTGATTTTCTCTACGTATTATCTCTAGTTTTCTCTGCGTATTATCTCCAGTTTTCTTTGCGTATTCTTGGTTTTCTCTGTGTCTTCTTTCTTGTTTTCTGTGCGTATTACTTGTTTTTATTGGGATTTTTCTGATCGGATCTCGTCAACTGAATTTCTGTGTCCTTAGCCGGCTTTTTAGCCCGATGCTCCCTTTGAGTTTTCTAGGTAATTCTTCCCGTCTGTACAAAATATTCTTTAAGAGAATTATTCCTCTGATCTGATGTTTGGTCGTTTCCCATATGTTTACCTTCATAGGCTCTTTTTTTAGTGCCTTATTGGGTATGTAATTTTTCCAGTATGGAAGGTCAAGATGATAGGTTCAACGTTTGCGTCTTTCCATGATTCCTCTACACTCGTTGGACATGGGCTAACAAACACCAAAACTCACTGCACTACGTAAAATGTGTAAGCAAAACATGCTCATAAGACCAGTTGTAAACAACAACCTCGGATAAAAATTGAAAAATAGAATAGATTACTCAAAAAGCTGCAGAACTACATAAATAACAGTATGACTGAAACCAAAGGGACTGACATCACACAAGCACACTCAGATCACCCTCATTGAGGCAGCACTAAAATACACGACAGACTAAAAAACGATTCCACTGGCTAAAGTGAAATGCGAAAACTAACTAAAAACAATAAGAAATCACAAAATCAAATACTAAATGGACCATATTTACAGACTTAGAGAAAGAAACGTACAAACTTACGATTCTATTTAACAAATTAGCCATTGAAACAGCACTGAAAAACAACTAACTCAATCGAATAACTACTAAGACTTAAAAAAATTAAACAACAGGAATCAAGTACAAATAAAATTTTTCAAAATATTCCATGTATGTACAAATGTAAAAACCAATCGGATTGAATAAAATATAAACTATTAAAAGATTCAGAAAAAAATATTTACTTCCATATTGATCGATATGAATAAAATCAAAGGGGTTGGTGTGTCAAGGTGGGCAAATTATCGGGAGAAATCATTCGAGAAGAAATTCCACATGAACAGCCCTTTCGTACAGTTAACCGACCAACAAAATCGAGTCTTTCCCATAACGTGTAAAGTTTTTAATAAGTCCTCTGCTTTGTATGCTATTTCAAAGACGGTTTGTGATTAGAGCTATAG